TGAACAAAAGAATGAAATAAAAAATTACAATGACAACGCAGCAGAACTGTGATGTCAGTACAATAGGGGTGCACGAAAGGAGCCTTCCCACACGAAGTATCATTCATTCCTCGTCTGTACGCCTAGCGCTCCCTGGGCAACAATCGTCGACTACCTTACGTTGATCTGCATTTCACAACGGTGGCAAGCTTATAATGTATAATATAAGCACATATGGCATCGATACAATTAGAAGAAAAAGGTACTCTTTTTTTTTTAAATGACAAAACGAACACTTACCTGTTTCTGCAGCCAAGCAGTAATGAAATCATTACGACGTTCTGGTTTGAAAATGACAGGCATATGGGACTTATGCGTTTTAAAACTCTGAGTAGCACTGCAATTGTTAGGGACAGGAGACGTCGCTTACCACCAGTCGCACGACTTGTTTGTCTCGTCACTCAATTATAATATAAAAAAGAACTAGTCGTGGTGGTGGTAAACGACATGCCTATCAATAACAGTTGCAGTGCCACTCAAAGCTTTACTACCACTGCGCCCTTGAGACATAAAGTTGACAAGTCCCATGTGCCTCTAGTTTCATAACAGAAACGCAGTTTTTTTATATAATACCAAGTGACAGGACGAACAGGTCTTGCGCCTGATGGTAAGCGACACGCTTATCTTTATAGATAAGCGCAGTTGCAGTGCCACTCAGAGCTTTAAATCGCGAAAATCTAAGAGGTACTGCCACTGCACCAATAAGTTGATAAGTCTCATGTGCCTGTAATTTCACCCTTACCCTTCCAAACCGGAACGCAGTAATGCTCATATTACTTCTTGGCGGCAGAAATAGGTAAGGTGGCAGTACTTCCCTGGACGAAGTCCACAAGAATAGAAAATTAGGAAATACAATAAGGGTGCCACCAAAGAATATCTTTTAGTAAATAATATTTTCAATAAATACAGTACGTATTGAATACTAACAATAATTATATTTACTTGGTAAGACCCGACGAAGACGAACTTACTGTTTGACCAAATTGAGGACGTCCTTAGCAAAAGGTCAGTTCAAGAATACCCTTAACAGACGAGCATTTATGAAAACAATGATGCGTGTCAGGATCGTAGCAAGTGGAAGGCTTTCTCTGCCTACCCCGATGGGAAAAGGGCGTTCAGTTTATATATGTACATATAATAATATTTGATTGTTTATTTTTATCGGGAATATACAGGAAATAATAACAATACCTATAAGTAAATAAATGTTAAGATATAAACATTATTAAGTATGTTTGTTCACGCGTGAAAATTGAAGTCGGGTGCACTGAATAATATTCAAGATTGTTTAAATGGAACACAAAATCAAAATTATTAAATCAGTATCACTTTTCGTTTTTATTATTTAATTCACGTTTATTCACGATTCTAACGTCTACACTAGCTTTTACTTTGGTTCTTTTAAATAATTGTTGTTCAATTCCGTCACCATTAACAATTCCTGGAACTAATTACAACTCAAAGAAATTAACTTGAAATCTCTTTAGCAATCGCATTTATTAATAAATACATTAATTCCAAAGATTGCTTCTCAATTGAGAAACCCGTACCCAACATTCGGACGTATTTATAATAGGTGGAATCATCATATATTAACGATGTTTACAAGTAAATTTCTTTGCGTTGTAAAAGAAGGGGCAATTTGATTAAAAACATTCGTGTGTGTCACAGCTACCAGTGTGACATTTACATATTGACAGAATATTCATGAATAACTTTTCACCGAATGTCTTTTTCAATGAAAAATCGAAGTTCTATGAAAATATTTTCATGAATTTTTACGTTTCGCTGATAGGTCTAAATAGTACACGAAACATTTCATTAAAACCTTTTCATCGAATCGCTTTTTCAAGTAGGATGCAATAGGTTCTATGAAAAGATTTTCATTTCAATTTTACATTCAACTGGTTCAAATGTACACACGTATATCAACAACATGAATACCCGCTAACGAATGTCTTCAGTCAGTAAATTACGCTTTCAAAAAACACCCAAACAAACTAACAGCAACTCAATCAAAACTCACAACAGACTTCGAACTAATTCTAAATTTCGAATAAAATTTGTTACCACTAAGCCGACGTAATATTGACTATACCAATATTTGATCCTTTACGTTATGTACACGTTACTTAAAACCCTAAGGTAAATGTCATATGATCCCTCATTTTACATTAAAGGGTACCCTCTTTCTGAATTTATTGTTTAAAATAGTTATCAAATTAAATTGTAGACTGATTTCTGTTTCACGGCTTGACCCACGTGGATAGGAAACTCGTGAAGCGTTAGTTTAAAACTGATTTATAAGAAATCGAAATGTTTTGTGAATTTCCAAAATATTAGTTACGGGTTTGATGCAATTTGTGACCCTATAGCTCAACTCACACAACGCAGAGTCGAATCTTCGCGACGCGTCATTTTTTTCGCCTATAGTACATTCATCTCTATTTCCCCATTGTTAAGGTACAAATTTGTGTTAAGCAAATATGGAAACGGGTTGTAGTTGAAAAACAGAACGCGACGCTACGACTCTGCGCCAGTGTGAGTTGAACCTATATGTATTCACACTATACGTAATTACACAATTTTCTTTGTTTGGAAAATGTCAATATAAATGAGAATTTCTCTGCCGTACCAAGTACCCAATGTAGACATTCGACATCGCACAAAGGTAGTAGACGTGGGTACGGGAATAGCCAAGCTTAAGTGGAGATGGGCGAGGCACTTGATCATCCCTTCTAGGACGATGTAAGATGAATGAAAGCCGTTACTGAATGGTGGCCAAGAGACGCAAAAAGACCAAAAGGCAGACCACCCGCCCGATGCATCAATATCATAGTTGGAAACCACTGGACACGACTCGCATGAGACCGGAAATGATGGCGCAATAGAGAGAAGGCCTATACTCAGCAGTGGGAGGAAATGGGCTGAAATAACGATGGAAAATGCGCTTCCGATCGTCGCGGGCGTCAACCTAGTGCGACTCAGAATCCAGTCCAAAATTCAAAATGCAAACACATAAATATCTTATGACAGCCAAATTAAAATACTTTTGCTTGACGTTAAATTATTTTTCTTTAATTACAAAAATAACTTGGCAAGTTACAGCCGAGTTCCTAAACCAAAGCCTGTCTGTTGAACCTCCGATCTTTCCCCTTTACCGAAAACTTTATTAATAACGCTTTAACCGCTTTTTAATTAGAAATATAATTATATTTTTAACAAATTATACTCGTTAACATTTTATCTGTATAACATCCTAGTCAACATCACAATCGTTTTATAATATGTTGGACTTAACTACGGTATGTAACGTATTTAAGTTATATTTACCGTCTTTCGACTTAGTTACGGAGACGTGTGCGTTTGAACCACGTTCGGTGGATATATGTTCATGTACCAACATGTCGCTATGAAGTGAATCACCGGAGGAGAAGCGAGAAATACTGTTTTATACGATACACCTAAGGATATTGTCAAAAGAATGTGCTAATTTGTTACACTGTACTGCCCTCAAAAAGGCACAACTGCTGTATAAAGTACGGGCGGTATAGGATGTACTTTAACCGATCATATAAAATCACGAATACAGACTAAAACGAATTATTTAAGTATAAAGTAACTCTGAACCATTGACTTACAAATAAATGGACGATGGGTCTAATACAAAAACCACGAAAAAAATGTCCCAAGTCAACCTATTTAAACGTAGTGACATGTAAAGGAATATGAAAAAGCTAAAACGTTGAATTTAAATTGTAATGTCATCGCAGTACTGTCTAATTTTGCTTGCTTCTCTGTCAGTCGAACAAACGAAGACTAAAGCGTGAATGACGCTCTTTATACGATTTTAACGCCCTATAAGTTCGGACACTTTTTAGCGCAGACCCGACGTCCATATAATTGTAAGTCAATGCTCTGAACTTAATTTTTATAATATGGATAAATTTTCTCTTTAATTACTAAACAGAGCCTGCAAAATTTTGGTTTTCAATTGACGCCTTATATAAATTCACATTTATCCCCAAACTTGAAAATCGCCCAGCAGTTTAATGACATGCCGCGCCGCCTGCTGCCCCGTCAGGCGCTTGTCAACATCGGATCTGTGTTAAATTTTCTCTGCCTGTTTTTATTTGCGGCCCCCACACCAGGGACCTTTCGGCATTCCTACATGCAAGCGCACACTGACATGCCGATACTGTCGCGACATCGTGCTCGCGCTTAGCCTGTCTTCAGATTTCAGTCGTAACGTTAAACGTAAAAGTCTACCGAAGCATTCCAAAGGCTGCCGACTAGTATCCCCAAGCTTACAGCAGCTTTGTTTTCATAGCTACGACCATTCTCATTAAAATTTCAACTATAACAAAACGTCGGTGTTCTGTAGAAAGGGCAAAAGCGCCATATCGAAAAATTTTTCGGGGAGCATGTTTTAGTTTTTCACGACTGTTTTAAAATATTTTCGTCCTGTTTCAAATTCAATTTTGAAACATAAACTTAATTAAAACCAAAACTAAATTTTAAAACAGGACCTAACTAAAGGAAATGAAACTATTTTTCGGGATTTAAATTGCGTGTATTTGTTTTTTCAAACAAACCAACGTTTCGGGCCCTTTACAGGTCATGGTTGACTGGGAACGTAAATATTTTAAAACAGTCGTTAAAACCGAAAACATCCTCCCCTGAAAAATTTTACAAAATGGCCCTTTCTACAACGAACATTAAGGTATATTACGTCACCTAATAATCCCCAGCTATCCCGTCACTGGGCGCCCGGCCTAAGGCCCGTATTAATAAGTCCAAGATCCGTATAAAGAACTTCCTTTTTAATGAATATCACTTAAGTGCACATCAATGATTACTTAACAGGTTACGCATCGTTTGAGAATATGCAAAATTTCCGTTTATTGATAAACGTCGGCTCAAAATCGCTATTAAGTCCCAATCAATCAAGTGCCGGGTCTTGGTTCCTTGAGATGGTATCATCCAAGATGCCGATGATTATATCTATTATTACAATAAGCTTGAGATGCACCTTGAGGTTTGAGCAACGCCTCAGCTGTTACGTATTTAACACTGGACTTTAAAGTTGCTTATTAACAGGGACCTTAATAAATAATGAAAACTTTACTTCATAAATTTAAATCAGGATCATTAATTTCATTTAATTTAAATGTGTCTGTTTTTGAAAATCGAAGTCGAATTTTTATGGAACTAAGAAGCTGAATGCACTTCTGATGATGGCATCAGTTTAAGAATTCTACCTATGCGATTATATTGTATAAAATTGTATGCGACCTGGAGTACTTAGTGACTGTGAAGGCGTCGCAAAATCGGCAATTTTACAAAGGCATCAACAAATGCTAATAATATCATGTTGATCAATAAGCAGTCACCTTTACACGAACCTATATCCACCGGGTTTATTTTAGATACAGTATTTATACATAATTACGCTATCTCGAGTCTAATATTAGTTCTCTCGTTAACGGGATTCGAACCCGGGACCTCACTGCACGATGATATGCGGCGCGGAGAGCAGCACTGCCACCGTCGCGATGATTGTAAATAGAGTGAACACGAACAGGCAAAACCTGGTGACAATACCCGTATCATTATTAAGCACAAACCACATAGTGTCTTTACAGCACCATCTAAGATAATATAAAATCAGGTGCTGCTGTCGAGGCGTTACTGCCTTTATGATCGACTTTTCTCGTTATGGTGAACGATCTCTTTTGTCACAGTAATTAGTCTCTTGTATTACACCGATCGATCTCTTTTGTTACAGAAATCGATCTGTTTACTGTGATCGATCACTTTTGTTACACTACGGTTCAAATTTCAACCATGATTATACCCAAATGTTTTTGTCTAATTTCTACGCATTTCACGCCAATAATTTATACTGTCTTGAGACATGTGATAAAGAGACAGAATACAAAATCACAATTAATTTTGTGTTTTTCTAGTACGTTAATACTTTCATCATTGGTTTTCTTATTTCGAGTGTTCGATGTGGCAAAAGACACCCTAGATTTCTTTACTTTCTTTTGGGTACGTAAAGAAATAGACTAGAAACTACTATAAACATCTTCTCCATTAGATACAAATGCACAGTCAGAGAAACAAACAGAACGTACCTGTCAACAACCATGGCTGCAAATTTCCAATCACTGATTAGCTCTGCTTCTTCATCAGCCTTTTTCATCCTGGCGGTGATGAACTGGAGTTCCCGGAGGATGAGGTGCAACTCTCTGTGATGCCCTCCGAGCCCTCCAACGTCCTCCATCGTGGAGGGCCTCACGAACGACCTTCGGAAGTCCGTGCGGAATATCGAACACCTGAAAATTATTCTGTGTTAGCGAGCATTTCTGGTAATGCATTGCTGACGGATTTTCGGGTGATAAATTTCAAATTGTTAAGTAATTTTCGATCTTATTGTGATTCTGATTCAGACAAGTAATTTACTTAACTTAAAAGTAACAAATCACTTTAAAACAAATGACTGTCATGTTCGTAAATAACTTAATAACTATATCACACTAACCGGTGCCCGCAATGTTGTCTGCGTTGATTAAGTACTTCAAGTAACTTACTGTATTATACTAATTTTCATAGTTTTATTGATTCTCCATACAAAATTGTATCCCCTATTTCACCAGCTTAAGGATTTATTTTTGAGACAAAAAGAAGCCTATATCCTTCTTCTTCATCCCATCTATCTCTACACCAAAATTCGTCAATGTTGATTCAGCAGTTTAGGCGTGAACATGTAAAAAACAGAGCTACTTTCGCATTTAAAATGGGACAATTTGATCCTCAAAGATATTATAAATGTGCAAAGACATTACAAAAAAATTATATATTGTAAATGTGCTCTTTTTTCATGTTTGATTTGTATATCAATTGTTCCGTCTATATTAGTTGGTCTACAGATAAATTATAAACGAACTGCATTCAAGGTAACACTATTCTTATGTTTAAGCGTACTATTAATATTTGGTATTCAAAAATAATATTCAATTCTCCTTCTTAGTATTGGTCTTTTCTTTGAACGATTGATGACATTTATAACCTCTCTATCTTTGGTATTGATCTCCTAATAAATCTTGGTTGCTTGTTTGCGCCTTTCATTCAGTAGGTTAGATTAGGTTAGTATATGAACGAGCGAAGCGCGCGTGCCGCAGCAGCGGCCGGCGAGTGCAGATGCCAATTTGCTTGCGTTATTAATGTGCATTATTGAGTGTGTGAGTGTGAGCGTTTTAATGCTCATTTGTCTTAGTTTTGAGGCCCAACATAAAACTATCAAACTTAATTTATAATAATCAAAAATTTTTTTACGTAGCTCAGAACAGATTAAAATATCGATTGATTTAATTTATTTTATGTCCCAGAGAAAAATGATCCTGCTGCTTTTGCAAATTTAAATGAATCATTCCGTACCTGAGAAGCATTACACTGTAAGTGCTATTTTTAAAATTTTACAAAATCGACACCCCCGTAAAATTACAGAATTGGCGCTTACAGTGTAATGCTTCTCAGGTACGGCATTTAATATATATGCCATTTATAATATTAGTTTGGATCATGGAAGTATAACTCAATTGCTAATCGCCATACAAGACTATGGGGGCAGGTGTTTAGTACCTATTGGTACACTAGATGCCGCACACGTTTGGTACACATTGGTACACGAGTACCAAATAGCTATTTTGGTAACTAATTTGTTGTACATTGACAAGCTGCAATTTACTAAAACTACTCTAATTTTTAGTGATAACAAACAAATCACTTAAATGGCACTAATTGTACAGATTTTTAGGGACAGTGGAAAAAGAAAGAGAGAAAGAAAATAAATTTATTCAGCACAAACACATGTTACAAGTAGGTACAATATTATTTTATGATTTTAAAATTAAAAAGAAAATAAAAAATTGTAGAGGCGCATTAAAATAGGTAAAACATAATAAAGAAGTCAATTAGATCAGAAAAATAAAATTGTCACTATGTCTTGTATTTTATGTTTCTCTTTGCGTTATACAAATATTATTTCTCCAGGCGTATTTTGCAGTATTAAAATGTGCTCTCTGAGTTGAAAGTATAAACGGATTGTGAAGAACGCACTGGTGGCGTTATATCGTTCCAAATTTTCGCCGCGGAGTATTTAAAACTGCCTGTATAAGTTCTATGTTTTGGAATGCACAGTGGAAACCTGCAGGTGTGTGCTTTTAATTCCATATAAGACGTTCATGGGGATAAAAAGGATTTTTGCTTTTTATCACTCCAAATAGAAGCTATTCCAGCTATTCTTTTATTTTGTATACGATTAGCGCCATGTACCCATATTAGCAAGCGTTAATTCGTAAATTAGTTTGTAACACACAAATGCACGCACTATTGTCAAAAAATAATTTTAACTCATGAACAATATTTGAATCATATTACAAGGAAAAAAAGTGAGTTCTTATATTTCATATTACAGAGGAATTATCTGATATACACGGCCGTTTACATAATAAATAAAATAATCCCTATCCCTCCCTATCCAAACTTCAAATCGGATTGTTCTAAATTGCTATGTTGTTATATTGAACGATATAGGTACCAATATATTTATAGGTTTAAATCGTAAATGTTGTTTGTGAATTATTTTGTACTATTGGCTGCTTTGTTTTTGTGGCGCTGGTCGAGATGCGTCACATAATACTTATTTCAAATGTAGCGAATTTCTTCAAAAGGGCGGGGTCCGAAAAACAGCTTAAGCTGAGACTCTTACCTTTTTATCTATTACACGATGTTATTTAAGGATAAACTTGTATATTACTGTACTCTTTTATTTATTCATTAATTCCAGTATTGTAAATCGAGTTCTTAGGTTTTCGCGATTGTTACACATAGGAAATGAAACTATTTTTCCGGATTTAAATCGATATGGAACAAGAGAATTGTGGTACTTTAGCTTTCTTAGATGTTTTAATTAATAGAAATCCTAATAACACCTTAGGCCATACTGTATTTCGAAAGAAAACCCATACAGATAGGTATCTCAATGGTAATTCCCATCACCATCCTAGCCAGTTAGCTACCGTGGGCAAATCTTTGTTTCAGAGGGCACATGGTGTCTGCGACAATAATCATCTGGCAGGGGAACTTCAACATATAAAGCAACCTACATGCGAATAACTTGAAGATTCCACGCCAATGCCGCAGACCCCGTGTGAAACCACCAACAGTCGAGCGAAGACTTGCCATCTTACCTTACGTGAGAGGTGTTACAGACACGATCGGAAGAGTCCTCAGGCTCGCATCTATCAAGACCTATTTCAAGCCCCTGACGAAGATTTCTAAGTTCCTGAGACCCGTGAAATGTAACATCCCCTTACAGGATGCAGGTGCTTACAAGCTTGACTGTGAGTGCGGTCTCTCTTATATTGGACAAACAAAGCGAAGTATTTGTACCCGCGTCAAAGAACATATAGCTGATATCAAACACCGTCGCGTAAACAAGTCTGCAGTCAGTGAGCGTGTCATGGATAAACCTACACATTCAATGAAGTTTGACAAACCCCAGGTCCTTGCAAAAGAAGTCCGTTATCTACCCAGGATGCTGCGAGAGACCATTGAAATTAAAAAACATCCTAATTTCAACAGGGAAGATGGTTTCTCCGTACCACCAGTTTGGATCCAGTATTTCCTCTAATGAAAAATCCCAAAGAGACATAAGACTGCAGTACTAATTAATATGTTTTAGTTTATTCTAATATCTATTAATAATTAATAATAAATTGAACTTAATAAAAATTCATTCAATAAAATAATTTATAAAACTTAATATAGCGTAAATTGGAATGTTTTCTTTGTAAAATTAAAAATAAGGTATTTAATTAATAACTATTGTAACTATAGTGAAAAAATAAGGTGGTTTGCATCAATATTAGACATAACTGGTTGAAGACTGTACCACCTCAGTCAACCGTGACCATGGGACCTGTAAAGGGCCCGAAACGTCGGTTTGTTTGAAAAAACAAATATACGCGCTTTAAATCCGGAAAAATAGTTTCATTTCCTCCAGTATTATAAATTCATAACGTATCAAATTCAAAATTTCATTCAAGCAGCTAACTTGCCTGGAATTTCCTGACTAAATTTGAATAGTTGTGTTAGATACACCTATCCGTCTCTGGACAACTCGGCTTATGTTACAATGCACCTATTTTTATCAATATTTATGTAGTTGTGTAATATTTAGTAACAGTAGAGCTCCTTGTGTAAGAGTTCGTCCAGGGTAGTACTGCCTCCTTACCTATTTCTGTAATTTAAAGTTCTGAGTGGCACTGTAACTGTTATGGACAGGCATGTAGGTTACCATCAAGCGCACGACCTGTTCGTCCCGTCACTTGATGTTATAAAAAAACACATTCTTGTTTAATTGTTGTAGTATGTTTACTTATATTGTGTTCTAGTAATTATTGTGACCCCTTAATTGTTCTCCATTAGTTATTATTTTAATTTTATTGTACGAGTATGTTGTTATACCATATCCGTGCAACATCGACCAAGGTTGTCAACTGCAAATCAGCGTGAGTTAATATTGTGCCCCGCATATGCTGAGGTGGTGACCTATTCGGAGGGCATGCAGCGTAGCATGCAATGATTGATTGTTTTTTGTTAAGCCTAATTTTTTACTCTGTATTTCTCTCTTCGTTTTTCTTCAAGTTGTTGCCTTCGTCGAATAAATGATTTTTCTGCTCTATTATTTCTATTCTACTCATTGATAAATAAAGATAAATAACGTTCTTTATTGTTAATATAAACTACTTCCCGGTTATTGGTCAGAGCGCCATCTAGATATGAGACGGATTTTTGGCAGAGCTAACATCTGTACTATGGACATTAGCAGTCCGATCTAGTTATTGTTCCATGGTTTGGATTAATACTTAATTTATACAGAATGTTAACTGAAACTCACACACACACACACACACACACACACACACACACACACACACACAC